CTTTGGTTAACTGGAGATGAAGGTAAGGACATTTCCAAGTGAATCACACTTGGAAATGTCAACAAGGAAGTAAAACTGTTGACTTCCTTGTTGATTCACGATGCCACATTCAGTGGGTTTTAGAGTATTACATTCAGAGTATTACACTCAACAAAAATATAAACGCAACACCTTTGTTACTGCTCCCATTCCCCATGGGATGGACGTAGAGACCTAAAATTCATTCCAGATACACAATATAACCATCCCTCCCAAACAGTGGTCACAAATCAGTCCAAATGTGTGGTAGTGGGCACATCTGCTATATTGAGATAATCCATCCCACCTCACAGGTGTGCCACATCAGGATGCTGATCTGACATCATGAGTAGTGCACAGGTGTACCTCAGACTGCCCACAACAAAAGGCCACCCTGGAATGTGCAGTTTTGTCTCACAGCAAAATGCCACAGATGCCACAAGCAATGAGGGAGCGTGCAATTGGCATGCTGACAGCAGGAATGTCAACCAGATCTGTCGCCCGTGCATTGAATGTTCATTTCTCAACCATAAGCCGTCTCCACAGGCGTTTCAGAGAATATGGCAGCACATCCAACCGGCCTCACAACCGCAGACCTCGTGTAACCACACCAGCCCAGGACCTCCACATCCAGCAGGTTCACCTCCAAGATCGTCTGAGACCAGCCACCCAGACAGCTGCTGGAACAATTGGTTTGCACAACCAAACAATTTCTGCACAAACTGTCAGAAACCGTCTCAGGGACGCTCAACTGCATGCCCGTCGTCCTCATCGGGGTCTTGACCTGACTCCAGCTCGTCGCCGTAACAGACTTGTGTGGGCAAATGCTCACATTCGATGGCGTCTGGCACGTTGGAGAGGTGTGCGCTTCACGGATGAATCATGGTTCACATTGTTCAGGGCAGATGGCAGCTGAGAATGTCCCAGTTCTTGCATGGCCAGCATACTCACCGGACATGTCACCCATTGAGCATGTTCGGGATGTGCTTGACCGGCGTATACGACAGCGTGTACCAGTTCCCACGAATATCCAACAACCTCGCACAGCCATTGAAGTGGAGTGGACCAACATTCCACAGGCCACAATTGACAATCTGATAGACTCCATGCGACGATGTGTTGCACTGCATGAGGCAAATGGTGGTCACACCAGATACTGACCGGTTCTGGGTCCCCAGACCCCCAATAGCGCAAAAAACTGCACATTCCAGGGTGGCCTTTTGTTGTGGGCAGTCTGAGGTACACCTGTGCACTACTCATGATGTCAGATCAGCATCCTGATGTGGCACACCTGTGAGGTGGGATGGATTATCTCAATATAGCAGATGTGCCCACTACCACACATTTGGACTGATTTGTGACCACTGTTTGGGAGGGATGGTTATATTGTGTATCTGGAATGAATTTTAGGTCTCTACGTCCATCCCATGGGGAATGGGAGCAGTAACAAAGGTGTTGCGTTTATATTTTTGTTGAGTGTTAGAAAATATTGTCTTTTCCTGCTAATTAATAATTTGTACAACAATTTAATTATGAAGCCTTTTTGTAAACTGGCTATGATTTATCTTGCGGAAAGTTAGTTAATAAAGTGTAGTCAGAGTCATGGATTGGTTTTGGTCATTAGTTTGGTGTTTCTTACTCCTGACAGGTTTTCTGCGTCCTTACAGCAGTGAGTAACACATAATTCTTTATATAGAATATATAGAAGCACTATCTGTACAAAAAAGGGGGGAACGATGGTTATAAATGCAGGATTGTATTTCTTATGCTTTCAATTTTGATGTTTATCTGTGAGTCTCTATACTGAAATGAACTTCATAAATTTAATGTAGAAAAAGAAGAAGGTGGCGTTCGCTCAACAAGAGCTTAGTGTTCATGATTTATGTTGCGAAGCTTCTTTTAGTCTGAGTTTTTCACAGGACTTAAGCACTTAGTTTTGCCTCTGACTGTACAGGTTGTACTTACAAGCATTTATGTGTTTTTTCAGGTAAATATGCGGAGGTCCAAATGTTTAGATGACATATTAATTTTGAAGTGGGGTGTTAAGGGGCTTATATCAGAATCACAATCAAAATACTTTACTAATCCCGAAGGAAATTAGGGTTACAGCAGGCAGCGCGCTAATGGTGCAGCAAAGAAAATCTAGCAGGAAACTTCACATATGTTCACATTATTTGAATTGAATTTGCAGTAATGGTGTTGTTAATGTTTGCAAATGTATCAAATATTGCTATGTTATTCTAATCTTCTGCTATCTCTCTTTTTTAAACTGCTGGCATTATAGTTACTAGAAAAATCAATAAATCAATCAAATTAATTTCACTTTGCTCTGCAGACAAACTGAAGCGATTTCCACATCTCCTTTATCAGGCTGCGGGACATTGAGCTTTCATGTTTACAAACAGCAGCACTCAGAGTGTGCTCAGTGACAAAATAATGAGCTTTTCTTTTTTTTAATGAGATTTTTTTCCTTTCTTTTTTTTTGTTGCTTTATAGATTTTTAATCATTATTTTTTATTTATTTTATTTTATTTCATGTAGTTCAGAACAATAGTTCCCCAGGCTTTCTAAAGGTCTTCTCATTGGACAGCGGTTCCTTTTATACTCATTTTCCTGAGAATACTTAAAGACATGACAGGAAAGCTTGCCTATAACATTTCATGCTGTGCTAAAGAATAAAGGTGGTCATACCAATATTAATTTCAGTATCCATCCATCCATCCATTCGCTTCCGCTTATCCTTTTCAGGGTCGCGGGGGGCGCTGGAGCCTATCCCAGCTGTCATAGGGCGAGAGGCAGGGTACACCCTGGACAGGTCGCCAGTCTGTCGCAGGGCCAACACACAGGGACAGACAACCATTCACACTCACATTCACTCGCACATTCACACCTAGTGGCAATTTGGATTATCCAATTAACCTATCCCCACAAGTTGCATGTCTTTGGACGGTGGGAGGAAGCCGGAGTACCCGGAGAGAACCCACGCAAACACGGGGAGAACATGCAAACTCCACACAGAAAGACCCCGGCCTGATGTGGAATTGAACTCAGGACCTTCTTGCTGTGCGGCAACAGTGCTAACCACCGTGCCACCGTGCTGCCACCTCATTCAAATCAAAATGCAAAATAAATGTTTTTACCTTGTAGAAGTATTAATGGTAACCTTTGTCCAGGTAGTTAGAAATACTCTCTAAATAATAATGTGCATGTGCTCACATGAGTCCACCAGTACATCTTTTACATGTCTGTCTCTGTGTGTTCAAGGTGCTACTGGTTGTGCGGGCCCACCAGTTCTATGTTGCGCTGGTCGGAACAGCTCCTGTAACAGAGAATGTTTCTGTGACGAGGATTGTGTGGAATCGGGTGACTGCTGTCCTGACTATAGTTCAACCTGTGGACAATGTAAGTGAAGACAAACACAGAGACTAGAAATACACACATTTACATTTGACTACAAATGTTCCCGCTGCAAGCAGAGACTGATCAAAAAGCTACAGCATTACATCTGCAATAAATATCATAACGGCTTCTTTGTCTCAGCATCCACCGTTTCACCAACACTTTCTTCCGTCTCTACTAAGCCAACTACAGGTTTGTCACCATTTAAGAGCTATTTCAAAAATTCACATTTACACATTCACATTGTTTGTGTTACTCCTGAAAAAAGTGTCTAATCACCAAATGTTTAAACTACTCTAGTTTTGCACGTTAAATTATATTCTAAACATGCAATTCTTTCTTTCTTTACGCCCAAATAGCGATTGTTCGCCTAAAGGTTAATTTTCAATGTCATTCTGAAGTCCAAGAACAAGCAATTTTAGAAATTTCATCTTTTGTAAGTACAAACAGCATTAAAATGTACAGTAAACGTTACAGTGAAAAGAAAAACAACAACATGCATTAATGATACTTTTGTAAGTAATCACTCTCATCTCTCTCATAGCTTCAGGGAGTTTTCCAGGAGAGCTGTAAGGGCTGCGCAGTGAAGGTCAAACCCGTGTGAGGCTTTGGGCAATGAAAGCGTGATTTTGGATAAAACGACACCGTGATGACAGACTCCAACACTCATCTGCTAAATATAAATAAGCTATTAAAAGCTAATAAAGTTAACTGACTATTTCAGAATTAATAAAGCACTCTATGTTTGCATTCATGTAGCAGCATCTACATCCTTCTGAGCTCTTATTTAGTTTTTATTTTAAACTCAATCAAAGAAAACATTTATAGCACATGTGCTTTGTTTGATTCACTCTTTTCTGTTTTTTTCATAATAAAAGTCACAGGGTTTACTCTTTACTAACTATTGTCAAGATCCAACGCTGAGTTGACAGGTTCTTTTTCACATTAAAAACATAGAGGAATGTTTTACACAGATGTGAATGTTGACCATATATTTAGATTATAAGGGTTTTTAACAGATTTCACTTCACTTCCAATTTTATGGGAAAAATCTAGAAAAAATGAAGAAATTCTCACAATTATCTGGCAGAAAAATAATTCACCGTACAAATCCAGTCTGCTGTGGTCAAGGAAATAGCCACACTTACTAAGATATGATACTCTGAAACATGCCTGTGCTGCTGAGGCTTGGCTTTAGTGCTGTTAGAATATAATTACATTAAACTCACATGTAATATATCATTCATTTGAACTTCATTTGAAAATCAATGACATTAATGACTTAGCCTCTATTTCTGCCATGATTAATGTAATCTTGCATAATTATAAACACATTCATTGTAGCAAATAAACAAATAGAAATCATTTTTTTGTTCATATGTTTTCATATTTCATAATGTATATTCCACTGTGTTAAATAGATTGGTTTAATTGATTTGTGCTAGTTTTCTTTTTCTGTGTGTGTTGTGCTAAATAACTAAGAATTTATTGTTTCCTTTTGTAGATGATATTAGCTCACATTTAATTATGCTGATTTCTTGCAGATTCTTCATGTGTGTTCAATAAAAGCAAATAAATCATTACTTTTTTATGCATGCAAAGCAGTGTTTCCCAAATGGTGATGGGAAGGCACACCAGTGTGTCTGAAGACAAATTCAGACATGATTTGAGATTTTGTCAATCAAACCCTATTATTATAATCCCTGGAAAACAAGTCATATTAATAAAAATATATAGCTCTAATTGGCAGGGATGAGAATGACATTTGTGGTGTGGTAAAACTTATCACTGTCTTGGGAGAAAAAAATAAACATTAATACTAGAGCAGGCAAGACTGGGGATCTTAATGGCCCGTCTTCAAGCATCTTTATCTAACAATGCGTCACAGCACCAGCTTTGATTTCAAGGTTCCCATGAGAAAATACCCTGGTGTATTTTGCTGTAGCTCCTATGGAGCTAATCTAAAAGGGGATCATCATTTAGAATCAATGTAAAAGATTTTGTTAGGCACCTAAATATTTTAGCATATGAGTGGGAGCCCTTCATGCTATTTGTTCAGAGGTAATGCTCTTATATCTGAGCAGTCATGAGTGTTTGGAACAACAGGCCACTCAAATCAAGACAAAGACGTTTGTCAAACTGGACAAAACTGAAGAAAAACGGACAAAAGTTCACAAATATGAAGTGAACAGCAGAAGCAGAAGCACGGCTTCATTTGTTGGAGCTTCTGTTCCCTAAGTATCACCTTTATTCCAACCTGTCCTAGCTTAATATAATCCCAAAGGAATTTATATTTTTTAAGATAAGGGTTTTTTTAGGAATCTTTCCTCTCCTTTGAACTGTCTACACAGTGCTATTGACCCCCTTTTGTTTAGAAAAGAAAAACAGATCAAAATCATCCATTATTCCTCCAGTCATCAAATTTCTCAACACGAGCATGGGTGACAATCAACCCCGAGATGCAAGGAGAGCAAAATTTTCTGTATATTGTTTTAGTTTTCGCTTATTTTTGTTGTTTTGTGTTTGTGGTGTGTGGTGTGTACAGCATATTTGTCATCTTTTGCCATTTTGATACTCAAGCAATGTGAACCAGTCAGCCTAATTAATGGTATGGCCCTGATTAATGCACATGTGAACATCTACAAACTTTTTTTCAGCTCGTTTTATTAGTGCCGGCCCTCAATCACAATTACTTGGCCGTGGGTGACGCTTGTAGCAGGAGAAAATATTGCCAGTAAACGGTTTAGTGGCGAATAATCTTTGCCAGCAGGTGGCAGCATATTCCCAGGTCTTTGACGTTAGTGGCACAGATGTTAGTGCAATCCAGCACTGTAGTTAAAAGTTTGTGTGGATTTTATTGGCACGTTTCTTCAGATGACATAACAGGTAATATTTTCTTAAAGTCTATTTTAAAGACCTCGGTTGAGTCGTTTATCCAATTTCCAAAGATACAAAAGAAGTGACATTATCAGTAAAAAACAACAACAACAACAACAACAAACAAAATATATATGTTTTGCATGCATGTTTTTCCACATCTCCAGTGAAACAGTGAAGGCTCTGCACCAAGAACATCTGACATATTAATCAACTGAGACAATAAAAGTCATATCATGTCTATTTCTGATTGTTTGCAGGTAAAACAGCTAAAGTCACGGGGTAATAAAATGACGTAAACCCACGCAGAAAATATTCGCAGTCATGCTCCAAACGTGAAGTCGGTGCTGTACACTAGTACAGGTGGTGACCCCAAACTCTTCATGCCAGGAGGATGAGACAAAAATGTAATTATGAGTGAAAAAGAGGAAACAGCTCCACATGGCCTCGGGGATTGGCATAACCTTTTGTGGCGGATAGTTCAAATTAGACCGGTGTCGCTCCAGACCCACCTTTGACCCCGGAAACTTAACTTCTGCAGGATCCAGAAGAAGGCTTTTGCATTTTTAGTTTATTATTATGTATCTTTACTTTTACTCCGTGTCTGCGCGATGACCCGAGATGCATATCACACTGTAGCTGCCAAAAAGTGACTGTCTGCCAAAAGGTGATTTCCGGTATTTACCAAAAAAGGGACTTTCCGTATTTAAACTGCTGTAGAGGACTTGTTGGCCTATATGCGAAATATATGTCAAATGTGTCACTCATGAATGATTGCAAGTCACTTGAGCCACAAACACCATTATTGTCACAAGGTAGAAGCACTTTTTTGGTGAAGAGGATTTTATATATCTTAGATATATATATATCTAGTTAAAATTACATAAAAACACGTTGTTGTTTTTTTTAAAGCGTGATCTGGCCAAGAAGGTACCTGAAATTGCAACAAATATAAGAATAGTTCTGTAAACATATTTTAAGTTGACAAAAAAGACCAGATTGGTTATAATGCGGGTATAACTAAGATTCATAAAGATACATTAAAAAAAACAAGTAACTTTTAAATTTGTATATAGATCCTTTGTAAATCCTGTTCACTAAAGTCTATTTACCAATATACGTGAAGACATTACACATACACAACACATGGAAACATTGGAAATCAGTTATTGGCAGGCGATCACTTTTTGGCACACACCGGTCTGCTAATTTGAAGCGTCCTCCTGTTCTCCGCGAAGGTAACGTTTGCGCTGCGTTGCGCAAATGAGAAGCGTGTGTTCTCTTTGCACAATCCTCTGCACAATCCCTGAAGTTAATTCTGTAGAGTGAGTCGTGGGTTCACGTTTCGCCACAGCTTTGTAAACTTAGATCATGTGGGGTCACGCAGAGGTTGGGGCGGCCCTGTAGCCGTGCGTCAAGTCTCCACAGATCAGTTACAATGTAATGGCAAAGGAATGTCGCTCAGTCCTGGATATTCCACGGAGCTTTGGGTCTAATTAGAACCAATTTGAGAATTGGATGTCATTTCATCCTTTTAGAAAAATACTGTCTTTTCACAAGCATATGGCTACTGTTGAACTTGTTTGTCTAAAAACATATAATATACAGTTATATATATTTTTAAATAACGCTTATCTGTTTGCTCTCACAGGATTCAAAGTTTTTGTTGTGTTTTTATTTGACAAATAAAAATAATGCTGTAAAAAGTTCAAGCGGAATTTACAGATAATTAAATGGCTGGTTAACACACACATTTTTATCACACACACGCACTCACTGAGTCTCTGCCCTGCACCACCCTCAGTCTGCTGCGAATCCCAGGTTCCCTGTGGTGTACCCATGTTGAAGGCCCTGCTGTTAGTGATCCTGATTGGGCCTCACAGGAGGAGATTCCGGCCTGCCATTGACCCACACTTCTCTATGTTTCCACCCATCTCTCAGATCATCAGAGGCAGCCGTCTCCTCCTGCCTGTCGAACAGCCTGCTTGCATAAGGCTCCTGATTGTCAGATGGAAGGGGGGGGGAATGAATCTACTACAGGTTTTTCAAAATCACTAGCAGGTCTTGCCTGAGTAGTCTGCCCTGACGTTTTTCTGGCTTGGTGACTGTCAAAACATCCCCCGTATGCATTCATACCCCTCCTTCTCCTTCTCCTTAGAAAGCCCGTGGCTCACAGGCTGTTCTCCTCTTCAAAGTAAAACTTCTCTGCCATGTGGTCTGCGTTGAATGCCTGTGTTGACGGCCGCCCGGTTTTTATGAACTCCTCATAGGGATCCTTTTTTTCTTCGTCGCTGTCTATAAAGCATTTAAAAAGTGTCATGGCGAGGAAAGAGTAGAAGAACATTACAAACAGGATATAGAAGTGAGCGTTGTCATAGGTCTCTCTAGAACTGGTGGTGGAGACGGTGGTAGCTGGACCGATGTTGGAGAGAGAGCTCACTGTGGTGTTGGAAACGGTCCCACTGAACTGGCGCTCGCTGATGTTTGTCCCAGTGTCATCGAGAATCTGCTTGCATCTGCTTAAAAGAGAAAGCAGGAGGGTCCGGTTCATGGTCTTCATTTTCAAATCAGCAGCAGGAAAGAGGCTCAGCAAGAATCACAATAAAGCAAAAGACACAGGGAGGAAAGAGAACTAAAGGGGATAGTGAATGGCAAGTGTTAGAGGCAGTCACTCGCCGCTTTAGGAAAGGCATGCCGTGAGCCTCCCACCCATTCTTGTGGAGACCTGATAAGGTGGTGTTTCAGATATTAAGAAGCCCACTTCTTTCCTTTTGCAGCCATAATGTGCACAACTGCACTCTTTTTTTTTTTTAATGATTTCTGTAAAGATGTCATTTTGACCAGAAATTCATCAGAGTCCTTATAAGAATCCCCCCCTTATTTTTTTTTCAGAAATAACCTCTTTTTCTTTTCTCTTTTTGTAGCTCATCCTCTTTGTACTCTTTCCTTCACTTTCAATTTGGGGGTTGGATGCTGCAGAGACACTTGGATTGTTGTCAGCTCCGGTCAAGTAGTCTACTCATTTCAAAGAGTGTTGGGGTCAGAGGTTAAGTTGTCTCCAGTGTGTTGCAGCTTGACTGACACTGAGCTCCAAAGCAAACCCTTTGGCTTTTTCACTGGCTGTGTCTTACAAGTTGAACGCTTGCACACACAAAAAAAAAAAAGTTTGGAGAGAGCAAAGAAAACAGTGAAATTAAATCTTTCCTTGATCTTATCACGTTCGACACAAATACTCAGCATAAACAAATTTAAACACACATCTCAAGACACAAAGTACTGAAAACACATGAAAGCACTAAACAAACGTCCGTGTTTTTCATTGATGCTCGCGTCCTCATTTTAGACATGTACCATGAATGGCGTGGACAGGTGCACAGCTGAGCTCAGAGAAACAAAAAAGGCAGGTAAAGTTGTAGCCTTTTAAAGAATGTACCAACTGGCTTGTTTTGGTGTGTGTGTGTGTGTGTGTGTGTGTGTGTGTGTGTGTGTGTGTGTGTGTGTGTGTGTGTGTGTGTGTGTGTGTGTGTGTGTACTTCTCTCTACTGGGATTATTTCTGTTTAGTGGTGATAGCCAAAAGTCTTCCAAACCATCTATAGCCATGTGACTGACTAATGCCCCACTCTGTGCTTTTATAATTTACTGCAGCTCTGCTTTAGTCATTAAAGGGTGTGAAGGAGTGTTTATGAAAGGAGATATATTTATGATTTAGTGATCCAGAAATGCACTCCATCTTTAAAAAGCAGGTAGGAAACAGCAAAGAAGGAAACTATGAAAGAACTTTTAGTCGCTCCAAGGTGCTTT